AAAAAAAAAAAAAAAAAAAAAACAATTCATCAAACAAATCTGAAAAAAAGATATGTTATGGAGAAAAATAAATTAAACAAGATTTGCCTGAGCATTACGTCCGCATTCATTACCAAATTTGAAATAAAAATAAAATACAAAAAATAAATAATAGTAATAAAATAATTAAAAATAAAAAGAGAATTAAATTTAATGAGTGCGCGAGCATGTTTTCGACACCGCCATCTTTGGCGATTTTCCTTTTTTTTTTGGCATAGCTAAATGACCTGAAAAGTCTTAGATGTGTACTTCACATAATACAAAACCCACTAAAAAAGTTTCAAAAAAAAAAACAATTCTTTAGACCCTGAACTAAAGTGAAAACAAAAAGTAAAAACTGAAAAAATACGTGGGCGAGCACGTTTTAACACTGCCATCTTTGGCGATTTTTAATTCTTATTTGGCTTAGCCAAATGACTTGAAAATTTACAGGCATGTACCTCACGTCATAGAGAACGCAGAGAAAACAATTCAGAAAAAAATCGTTATTTTTACGCCCCGAAATAATTTTTGGTGGGGGCCGAATGCTGTCGGGTTCGGGCCCCGTACTCGACCCCGAACGCCCGTACGTACGGAGGTCTGCCCGGGGACCTCCGTACGTACGGGCTGGTGACCCTGTATATATATATATATATATATATATATATATATATATATATACAGAGTTGCCAGGCCGAACGTACGGAGGCCCCTAAGCTGACCCCCGAATATTCGGGCGGAACCCGAACTCGAAGGGGTTCGGACCCCGCAAAAAAATATTTTAGTACCTAAAAATTATTTTTTTTTTTCTGATTGTTTTTCGTGCATTCTCTGTTATGTAAGCTACCTGTCGCTCAATTTTGAAGTCATTCTGTGGAGCCAAACAATAATGAAAAATTGACAAAGATGGTGGTGTCAAAACTTGCTTTCCCACTTACTAATTTGTTTTTTTTTCTCTTTTCACTTTTTGTTTTCCCTCACTATTAGTTTAGTTTTGCTTTTATTTTATTTTGTCACCATGAATGGAGGTCATTTAGTACCCAATGCTTGGCAATCTTTTGTTGAAATGAGGAGGGGTGGGGTGCGGTGGGGTGGGTGGACTTAGTTGGAAAAGAAAAAGGCAGGAAGGTGCTCTCCACCTTCTTGGGTTGTATCGATGGGGTGGGGTGGGGTGCGGTGGGGTGGGTGGAACTTAGTTGGAAAAGAGTGGGGCAGGAAGGTCGGGGCTCGTTATTCCCCTAGCTGACCTACGACTCCCCCTTCGGTGACAATCGACTTGGTGCTTGATTGCCTCTCACTATATCACCATGGGGGTCCCGAAACTTGAATCATGGTATATCACACCTAGATGCTGGCTATCGAGACACATTGCTCCCACTCAATATCTGCGTGGGTGTGTGTGCCTGGTCAAGGTTGAGTGTCTCGTCCTTGAATCCCCTATTTGAGAGAGGACCCATTATGTCGACATGGAGGGTTGAACTAGGTTGCATCCAATCCCCATTACATTTTCTACATTTCTATGATCCCCTCTCCCATCTACTCATAATATCCCCTCTCCCATCTACTCATGAAAGATCTACAATCCTTATAGGATAAAAGACAATTTATTTCAAAACATAAAGCGATCCCCTCTCCTATCTACTCACGAGATCCCCTTTCCCATCTACTTATGAGAAATCTACAATCCTTGTAGGATAAAAGAATTTATTTCAAATCATGATATTCTCTCTTTCGTTTTTTTCACGGTCCCCTCTCCTACATGAGATTCCCTCTCCCATCTACTCATAAGAGATCTACAGTCCTTCTAGGATAAGAAATTTTATTTCAAAATATTATATTCTCTCTTTCGTTTTTTTTGCCTCCATTTTGTTCATCTCTCTTATTTTTTCTTCTATGTCTACATTATCATCTCCATCTGTATCACCTTCAATACCACCACCTCCAACATTTGTTTTAACTATATCCAACACGCGTTCATTATCCTATCCATCTTTATGATAATTTATACCTATTCTAACTTTTTCTTCACCATGCCCTCAATATTCATCTTCTTCATCTCAATAATCTCAACCTCCACCATGTTCTCCATCATCTCCATCATCGTCTAAACCATCACTTATATCTTCATCTTATTTTCTAATGACACTACTATCTTCATTATCTACTTTAACTATTTATATCCGCATCGGTTTTTTCCAACCATTATTTTTTACTACCAAATTGATTTACCATCTTCATTACCTTATTCATAATTACCTCTATCTGCATCGTTTTTTTACCACCATTATTTTTTACTACCAAATCTATTTACCATCTCCGTTAGCTTATTCATGATTATCTCCATCTCCATTATCATTTTCACCATGAGCAATATTTCTTATTCACTATTACCACCATGATCATCATTGTCATTATCACCATTAGTACCACCTCCATTATTTTTCACCACTTAATTTTCCTTATGTTCCTCACCATCCCCTTTGTCTCCACTGTCTTCTTTACCATGACCTCCATCTCCATCATATTTTTATTTCACCAACACCTTCTTCTTGTTCATCAAATCCTCTACGTCCGTCAACTTTTTCACCATCTCCATCATCTTCACCACCACAATTATCTTTTTGACAAGCTACCATCTCAATCATCTTTTGTTCCATTAGCTAATGTTCTTCACAATAACCTCCTTGATATTATTCACCATCACCTCTCTTATATTCTTCACTACCACCACCATCTCTATGATCCTCTTGACGTACATCTCTGTCATTTTCTCC